CGAATCATTTGTGATCCAGCTTCACCTACAGAAGAAGTGAGTGTAAGGTTTTTTAAAGAATCTTTGCAAATCGCCTTTCCTAATGATGAATGCAGCTAAAGTAAACAGTCTCTCAGAGAGCGGCTCAGAAGAGAGGGGCGGGGTCAGCAGCGCTCATTAACATTTAAAGGGAAATGCTACAAAAACGGCTTGATCTGAAAAGAGCTGTTTTTGACAGGGTAAAAAAGGTGGTGTTTTTTACACTACCATTGAGAAATTTCAACCAAACTATGTTACAGACTTTTCATTAAGACCTTAAAGAAACATATCAACTTGTGGAAAATGGGCATCCGATGATCCCTTTAAGACTTCTCAGTAATCAGCCACTGTTATGATTGGCTAATGTCATTGCATAGGACACAGTATCAACGCCCTCTCGCTATTGCATGTGTTTTGACAACATAATCAAAATAAAACGGTAATTTCCAAACGAAGTATTATTAAATCATTTACTTAGTTTGTGATGCAGCTGCACTCAGATCTTCATTTTTCAGCAAATGTTTCTTTGTGAACTCTCCGTGACACTGTGCCTCCTTTACAAAACAAAGCTCTCCTGACAATCCTCTGACACGATCTGGGATGCCATTAAAAATAAACTATCCACTTGTTTCTTATCCTTCTGAGATCTGTACAAAGACGCGAACGAGCTGCTTAAACCAAACGTGTCAAAGCGAACGTTCTTTCACTGCATTTGTCCTGACGACAGACACGAGTGCGTGGACTGTGTCAGAAAGCGAACGCGTATCTGTATACTGTATCCAGTGTAGACAAGATAGCGGCAGTGATTGTAATTTCTGTTTTCTTTTGACGCGACGCGGCATTCGCATTCAGCGTGATCAAGTCAGTTATGAAATTTGCAGGATGTATTCAGCATAAAAAGACCTCTTCTATGTCAGAGATCAAGGGAAATTTGGTTTCTCATGTCATGACCCCTTTAATGGCTAAATTAAATTTTAGTAATCAAGCATGTTTTAACAGTGAATTCATGAATTTGTGTCAATCAAATGAAACGTGTACAATTTAACAACAATTTGTTAAGAGTTCTACAAAAATGTAATTTTCAGGGCCATATAAAAAAAGAAATATTTTTTTTTTTTTTTTTTTTTTTTTACAAATTCTTTGTTAATTTTTTCATGGTTTAAATAAATGTTTTGTAAATAATTAAATTGTTAAAGTGATATGAATTCAGATTATTAGACATCCTTACTGATTATTAAAATGTAACTATAATAGTGCCCTAATAATTTGTGCATTATTTTTTCAGTGTTGTCATTTTTAATTTTTGATTTAATACAAATTTATTATCAAAAATGGTGGTAATCAAACGAATGAGTTTAATAATTTTGTTACATTTGTAATAATAAAAAGTTACAAATGATATAGACAAATGCCCTATGAAATAGACATTTCACTAAATTTAGTTCAGAACTGTCAAAACAATTAACTGCCATCAAAACAAAATTTAATTTTGCCAATCAATAAAATTTTAATAATCAAAAAGGATGTCTAATCAATTGAAATCATAGAACTTTAACAATTAAAAAAATTATTAAAATTGTGACCCCCCCCCCCCCCCACCCACCA